GAGGCTTGAGGGAAAGATCTGAGGGAGGGGAAGGAGGGAAGCAAAACAGTTGGAGAGGAAGGAGGAAAGAGCATAAGGAAAGGCATGATTAATAATCTGCAATGATACGCAGTGTGAGGGATGCGATCCGAGTACAAGATTCAGTTATACGGTATGTTTAGTTCTAATCCAGTATTTGTGCTGCTGTTGTGCAGCTGATAGTAAAATGAGGATGACAGGAGGAAGAAGATTTGTTCCACTGCCTCTGGGCCACTGATCTAACAGAAATATCCCCCTCTGGGAGAAGTCACTCCATAAAGTTCCTTTTAGTGCAGGTTACAAAGATGACCCTCACCTTGATCCAAAATTCACATTAATCAGACTTCTCCTCTTGATCAGTTAGAATATAAATGAGCATGCCTGCTTTATGCTCATGCCAAAACATGTATAATGAGAACGTGGAAAATTCAAAGGGTCAAAAAAGGTTCCAGAATAAGTTCCTTGTATGATAATGGAAACATAGCAGTCTCCTCAAAACAGATTAAATTCCCTTTGAAGTGAACAGTATGCATAAAGAAATAGCTGCTTCGTCTTCCTGAAACCATCAAGGAATTCTATAAGAAACTGAATTTTGCAGAAAACAAACTTGCAACTCACAAGCTATAGCACATAAAGGACTTAATCTTATATCATTATTTTGGAATCATTTTTATATGACTTGTGGGCTGCAAGAAGGAAATAATTTGTATAGTCAGATGAAGGCTACAGAAAAAAAATTAACTGCCCCCCGTTTATTCAACTGCAATGGAGGAGAGAGGCTTTCTACAGAAAGCCAGACAGAATTTTCCATAATAACTTCACAAGAAAACAAAAATTCTCATCTTTCTTATTTCAATATATGCTGATGTGACACTTCATTTTTACCCCTGCGTGGGACTTGTGTTTTTGCAATTCTTAAGCACTTTCAAAAAATAAACTTCAGCATAACATATCTTCCCAAACCTGGCTGTTCCCTGTGTTTTCCACAGAGGTTTTTTCCAGCTCCTAATTTTGTCTGCATCTCACACCTACATTCCCGCCTAGTCCTAGAAAGATTCACTGACTAGTAGTTGAAATCAATAGTAATTCATAGAAGCTGCCAGGGCTTCAGTTTAGGGTAATTGATTACTGTGGCCCTGCTGAGGCTCTACACCCTTAATGTAAGCACTTCTCTGAGAGGT